TATGTGTGTGGGTGCATAGTATACATACAATATGTGGACAGTGGGTGATGACACACACATGTGTAATTTACCAGGAGTAATGCTTCTGACCTGTGGGTCATAATTCTTACAGCTTTCCTGAAAGGTAATGAAAGATCAATTCTCGATTCACCATGTATACAGTTATGCACAGAAGAGCATTCTGAGCGCCAGTGGGCCAACATAATGGAACATGCCAGAAGTTTCCAACTAGGTGTCTGAAGCAAAAAAAAAAAGTTTGGCTTGTTGTCAGGATGTCAGATGTTTGTTTTCATTCCAAAACACCTCATTCTGCAGGGTTGGGGTATTATCTGGTTGGTGTGTAGCACTATGGTACTGCTGCCAAATACTGCATCCAAATGTTTGTAGTTTGCCTCAAAAAAGATCTTAATCACCCTGACATCTGAACTGATGCAGTGACACACTGCAGTGTGTAGAACAGCCATTATTTACACCCTCATGGATTCAGCCAGCAGTACTAAGGATGACTGGCTGAAAGCATCACACAGACTGCACATGTTTTCACTGGGACTACCTCATCCTTTATAAACAAAGCTCAGGTTATAAGGATCTTATCATATTCAAATTCCACATATAGTGGCTTTAATTTTCAAAAATGGCAACATTTCACCACAACGTTGGTGAAATTGTTCACTGCTGGATGTACAAGTCTGTGAAGCTGCTAAAGAAAGCATGATAGCCATGATGAGAAAAGTGCACACCTGTGTTGGTATGATTGTGTCCAGAGTGTTCCTTGTTGTTTCAAAGGCTTCTGGTGGAGAAGCAGTGGTCTTGTTTTCTCTGCTGCTGTGGCTGGGGCTGGGTGTACTGGACTGGCTGAGAGTCAGCTGCTGGTCTGATTCGCTTCCAAACATCATGAGAGCATTTCCTTAAATGTGATGCAAAGCAGTTGAAAAAATAAGTTATTAAACTTGAGCAACATTGCCTTGATCCATATTTTTCAAATTGTATTAAGGTCTTATTCCATCAGAGCAGATGGCTCTGGTTCTGAATGGTAAATTCTGCTGAGCCAGAGCTAGTTTGGAACCAGTCTGTAGAGGAGAGAAAAATAAAATAGAAAATAATCAGTATTCTCTTCAAGTATCCGAACTGCACCTGCCTCTCCACATTGACCTCATTAACTCATAGACCATTTGCACTGGCCAGACAACTCTGAGACCTCTCTCTGTATCTTTTCTAGGCAGCGGGGGTGAGGAAGGACTGGCCAGAGATTCACCTCACTGCACACACCAAGCAAAGATACTCATCGCATGTACAGGTTCAGTGATAGATATATACTCGTTGAGGTCAGTAATATAGACGGTTAATTATTCACGCTCTAGAGCGGGGGTCAAAAGAGAAATGGAGAAAGTTAGCATAAGGAAACATGCCAGAAAGAACAGATACCAGTAAATTACAAGACACCTGTGTAGGATGTGGGTATAAAACCTGATTAGCACTCTACTATGAAATGAGCATGTGTGCTTGTCTTTAATCTATGTTATTATTGTCATTATTTATACACTATCGTTTACTGTATACTTTATATACTACTGCTGTTTCTTCTGATGCTAAATTGTTTATGTTAAATCTGTAATCCATATCACATGACGTGCAGTGTTGCTTTAATTTTTTATTTTGATATATGCTTACTTTGTTTTAGTAGTATTACGTTTTCTGTCAACTTTAATTTGAATGTAGTCTGAGTAGCTGAACATTCGGTTACTCCATCACATTTACCCCTTAATGCACACTTTAATTTTGCTGAACTGGGACGTTATTACACCCTGTTTAATGCACCAGTTGTATTCACATATGCCCTCAACTCCTTGCTGTAGTTACAGTCACATTGCTCTATGGCATGGTGGTCTGTTGGGCCTGGTTCAGGCTACACGATTTGTTTGTTTACACGATTATAGAGTCATAAATTCTTGGACGAGGGATATGACAGACTGCACGTTGATACCTGACAGATCACAGCCTGACATTGTTCATGACCTGGAGCTGCCAGGGACCGGAAGAAGAGTGTGTGTGTGATACTGACTGCTTGTGTTCAGAAAAGCATAAAAAGTGTGGGGGGCAACTAAGGACCTGTCTGTGGGTTGCACGAAGAGCGTAGCAGCCTGTGTTGTCTCTGCTTCATGGAGAACTTGAAGTAGTAGTTAAAAATAAATGTTTTAAGCCAGTAGTAAAACTGAAAACTAACTAGCTAGCCCTGATTGGGTAGCTACTTTACAAGGCTGACTGCGAAAGTCAGTATGCTAACGTTAGCTGTATCACTGTGATATTTAATGAATATGGTTCAGTCCAATATGCCAAAAGCACTGTGAACAGAAGAACCATATATGCTCTTGTTGGTCAGCGTCAGTCCACCTCATTACTGATGTTGAAAAAAAATTCTGACATGGCATGTTGACAATAGCATGTTCCAGCCTAACAGAGCTGCTAGCACAGCTTTAATCTATTGTTTTCCCAGATGATTTACAGGTAATAGCAAGTAATGTTGTTTTCTTGTTAGGATTCATATTGCAGCACTGGTGTGTCAAGTCATCTGCAAATCCAGCACGTTGTTGAAATAGTTTGACGACAGCAACACTGACACTGAAGACTTGTGCCTGAAAGAACTGATGCTAAAGTTTATACTTGTGACAAGTGATCGATCAGATAAGACAGGACTAAGAATGTAATGATGAGAGCTCAGAAGACATGAGCTTGATTTATAACTCAATCAGTGTAGCAGAAATAACGTGTCACCTAAGACTGGAGGTATAGAAGAATGTTTAGCTAAACATCCATGCATGCAAGGGTTAAAATATAAATACTAGTTTCCAAAATAACCAGCAGCTTCATGAAGAAAGTTTCCTGATTAAACTGTCTGAAAGAAAAAGGGTGAAAAAATTGTGCATCAGGTGTTTCGAGAAGATTTAATAAATATACAAATTCCTAATAATCACAGGACCAGCCTACTTATAATTCACTAAGAAGTGACTGTCTGACACTGAGGCAGTATTACCAAGGAAACAGCATGAAGGGGATGATTAATAACGAGAGGAGTAAACGAGTAAAAGGTAGAGAGACACTGAAGAAGAGGGAGGGAGAGAGAAAACTGTTAATTCTGCAACATGTGCAGGCTCTCAGATTCAAATGCATCTTGCTCTGCTGCTGTTTGTGCATGCTTGGAAGCACTTGTCTCACTGACTCTCAACAGGTCGGTCCTGTCACTTACTGCTGTTGCACAGATTACTCACGTGTTTTCCATAACAAATGTGTTTAATTGTCCCCTGTTATAGGTTTTCATTGCAAATTAGTCTGATAGGGAAGACATTTTTTGAGTTTCATTTCATAAGGAAACTACTCTGGCTGTACTGGCGGTGGAGGATTATGATATGAAATCAAAGAAGTCCAAACAGGCCAGTGACGTATCTGTGAACCAGTATTAGTTACAGCTGAACGGTTCTGTACCTGTTTAAGTCTTGCTGTGTTCACACTCAGACTAGATGTGTCCTTATCCTTACTTTTTGTCTTAGATTATATGGATCTGGTGATATATTTAAATATAGCATAAATGCAAAAAAGCTGCTTGATTTCACTTTTTTTTTCAACCCAATGCAGGCGTCTATAAAGTTTAGCTTATTTTTACATTTATTTAACTTCTCCTCACCAAGAAATAGTTACATACCCCCCAAGAAACTACAGATTAGCCTTTTGTAGACTTAGGTTTTTGTACAGATTAAACAAATTCTGGTAAGTGGATTTGTTATCTTGGGACAGTCAGGCTAGTTGCTCCAACTATTTCCAGTCTTCAGGCTAAACTAAGCTCAATAGAGGTTTGGCTGCCGCCTTAAACATCTGGCACAGATGTGAAAATGCTTTCGATCTTATCTAATGCTTGACAACAAAACAAATAAATGTAATTTCCCAAATGTTGAATTGTTACTTTAAATGTGTATGACGCACGTTCAACTTGTATTTTCATGCTGAAATAGGAAAATACAAAAGTTAACAGTTAGGATCTGAGAAGACTGTAATAAGTACAATAGACAAAATGTCTTTGGAGCAAAATAGAAATAGCATTTTACAATATTTTCCAAATTTTAATATCTCACTCTTGCTAGCCAAGTTTTTCTGTAAAGACATTCCACTGTTTTAAGTTCTCAGTAGCTGACTCATCTATAAAAACTGACCTAAAGGTAGTTTGGAAGGCATAAAGAACATAACATAAAGATGGCTGAAGGAAAACAAACAAAATAAAACAAAAACATATCACATCTTCTACCTCCCTGTCATATGAAAGCAAATACTCACTGAGACAGATGTTATCAGTGAAGGATCCCAGGAAACTGTCACACTCCTCTCTCCGGCTCCCGCTGTCCGAGCAGGAGCACCATGGAGCTACTCTGGACGTGGAGTTGTCCACATAGTTGGGAGTTATTGTGCTTCCTGCAGGGAGACCGTATCATGCCTCGGTCAGTATTAAATATACCTTTAAATTGTTACACTACTTTATTTTGTGAAACAATAATGAACACTGCATTTCCTGTACACTGATGTTATGTGAAGGGACAATAAACTCCTGGTGTTGCTGGTTAGAAAGGCTGTAAACTGATGTGCATAATATAATAGATGGATACTGAGATACTCCAATTTAGGTCACTGGCATTTAAGTTTTTTTTTTCCTGTCACTGTTTTTTTTCTAACATAGTGGAGCTGGGTTTACAAGTGCTTTTAATAAATGCAACACAGGAATGAAAATGCCAAGTATATGTTTGTTCTGAGGAGCACCATCTGAGGTTCTTGAAATGCACTAGGTTAGTGCCTCTCTCCAGTGTGTGGAAAAGAAGTGGCTGCTTTTGTTTGTTTGTTTACTGACAGCTGTTATAAAATCAAATTAAACAACTTGCACTGAATAAAAAGCACTTTCTTCTGTAATTTTTTTTTTTTTTTTTTTTTTGTATCTTAAACCATCTTGAACTTCTGTCTTTTGGTTTAGAATAAAAGATTTTATTTCATTCTCCCACTCACTCCTAACTCATTCTGCATTTATTCATTCACCCTCTAGCTAACTTTCACTCATTCCTGCCTCCTTCATTTTTCACAATTTTCTCTCTTATTTTCTCACACAACATGGCACATATTTATTTGCATACAGTCTTTTTTTCTTGCCAGCTGTTAGAGTTGGGAACCAAAACTTGGTTCCAAAATGGAATTTAATCTAAAGTGCCAAGTACCAAGTACCTGTAAAAAAAAAAAAAAGACAAAGTGTGGGGGGGGGGCTGTTACTAAACAAAACAAAGAGAATTATCTGCAAGGATGTATATAGCTGTCTCTTAACTACATCCTGCATCAATGCAACAGCATGTCAGTTTGTTGCATGAATGGCTACAACAGTGTGAAAGATGGATCGCAGTAAATGGTTAGAAATGTGGGTTCACTTTAGAAAAAAACAATGACAGCATCGATGGCATCGATCTGAATGACTGTAGTGTTTGGTGTTTTGTGGTTTCCGAGCCTGAGGGTGTCATCAGCCGTCTGCCAGAGCCGTGAACCCAAACCATGGACATTTGGTTTGGCAGTTTCGGTTTCAGAACTGCTACACCCCTAAAGGATACCCAACCCTACAGCTGTCGTTCCATTTTTCCTACCCTTTTGTTTTGTTTTGCCTCTTAGGTGTGCACTTACCTATGAGCCCTGTGTAGGCAAGGAGACAGGCTCCATAGTTCCCTTTCTTGCAGCCACCGGCGGACTTTTTGGAGGGTTCGCAGTCATACTGAAACTGTGCCAAACGAGACCTTCAGAAGAAATGGTTACCAGTTAGCAGTAACATGATAGATCCCTGTATTGTTATACGTAGAATGTTTGTTGGTTCTTTTAATACATTTGTTCTGCCTATAACTTGGTCTTTTAATTAAGAGTTTGTCCCTCTGACAAAAAGAAATATTGTTGGCTGTGGTGAAGACTGAAAGCACTGGTCTGTAATGTCAAAGTGATAGAGTAATTTATTTCATTCTCAGACCTGGGATCATTAGTAAAGCCCTCTGAGTGTAATGGGGCTGTGAAAAATAATGGCCATGACCAGAGATAGCAATGAGTGATAACTCTGATCTATCTGGCTCTTTATCTGTGCTAAATATTTAATGTGTTATTCCAACAGGCTCTCTGGGGTGTTCTAACCAATGGTGGTAGAAAGCTTTAGGCTAAAACAGCAGGCCATTTTGTTGATTGAATGGCTGTTTATTTGGTTTCAAAGAGCCATAATACTAAACAGCACTGGCCCAAATATGAATGGGGAGTATATCTAAAATCTATATCCAAGGGATACTTGAATAAAGTGGAGATAATGAATCATCAGCTGTGCTGATTTGGTAGAAAAGAGTTGGATCATTAGGCAAAACAATCTTGGCGATCATGATCATATTATAGTAATGTGTTATATCCATATGAGGCCAGGGCTAAGTGAGGAATAACTTTAATATCTGTTGGGCATGCGAGGAAGGCTCACAGTGAACACAGTGAAATTAATGGAAGCCATTGAATATTCCCATTTTGCTCAGTACTGACCTGCACACATAGTCAGCATTGCAGATCCTCATCTGTGTGATGCAGTTGGGTTTTTCCACGCTTTCATAAGAACAGCTGGGAACGATGGTCTGTCTTCGACGCTCTGCACACGCTGTGTCTGTACAGGGGCAGAAGAGCAGCTCGTGTGTGTAGTCGGCAGGAACACGGTCGAAGAACCTGCGCAGAGCCTTATTGCATTTTGGCCGGTTGCACAGGCCTGACTTCACAGTGGTCTTGATACAAGCTGAGACATATTCTGTGCGGAGCTTCTGGCACAAGTCGTCCACATTGCAAGCCTTGGCTGCATCCAGGCAGTGATTGACAGTTGTCATGCCAGCATCAGTGTCTGTAGATGGAAGTAAGGTCAAAGACAAGTGTAGAAATGTGTGAATAGCAAAAGAGCAAAGAGGTTTTGTTTTTGTAAATTAAAGCATGTATGTACTCAGTTTATTTATTCAAAATGCTGAGATGGTGGCTTGTCTTGTCAGAGTTTCAGAATTTTGGATAGGCAATTTGGAATTCTGCTTTGAGGTGGAGATGTCTGCAAATAAACAATAAAGGCTCATTTCTTGATGACCACAATAACTAGGTTGAGGTGTCTCTTCTCTGTTGTGTTATAAAAAGGGCACAATTACATGACAACTACTTAAATTATTCCCAAATTAAGCACCCAACTCTCACTGTTATTCAACTTAAACAAATGCTTTTCACAATTTTATTGTCAATATATCAATTTTTGCAAACTGCATCATTATTTTAATCTTGCCACAAGAACCAGGTACACACATTTCCTCCAACTAATGAAGATCAACATGGTTATCTGATATGTTGCACTGCCAGACTTTTGGAGAAGAGCTGACTGCAATTCAGGTTTCAATACAGTGATGTCTGTCTGTTTTACAACCCTCACTGTCATTCTCTTATCTGTAAATGTGCGTCACTACCATATTATTATGACTTTCCCTCCATTTGTTACTATAGGCAGCCAATCACACATATTATGTGAAAATAGTGCAGATGCACAAGCAATTTGCTTTTATCAAATCAGATTATAATTTAAGGGGGTGTCAATGTGACAGTGTCTGAAAGCCTTTTAACAATGGCCATCATGCTTTAATGTGCATTACTTTGCTTTGTATTACCAGGCATTGATTATTATGTCTCCACGCCAGCAGCAGCTGTTGCTAGAGGCAGACGTGGCCGGAGGCATTTTGTTTTCAGGTTGTCTTATGGGAGGCCATTTATGCTGTAATTCATACTTTCTCTCACAGACACAACTATACTTACACGCACACACACACTATACTATACCCTCTTACATGTACAGTCATACTTTCCTTTATTTACTTCCACACTCTCCTACACAATCTATTATTCTCTCTAAGACACACAACAATACTCTCTTATATGCACCATCATAGGCCCACCCTTTCACAGACAGTACCATATATTCTCATACACACACTTGCATGCACATATGCATATATTATATATCTTGCATGACAGTTTAAGAGGGAATAATTGTATATGTAATCAATTGGTAGAATGTGTTTAATAGTATATGTAAAACAGAATAATAGCATATGTAAGAGAATGATAGTGAATGTGAGAGAGAATAGTTGTCTGTGTGAGAGAGTTTGATAGTGAGTAAGGGAGAGTTTGATTGAAATGGAAATGCAACTGAATTCCCAGTTCCTGATTGGCTTATCTTCGTACAGGAAGGCTTTGGCCCGCCTTTCCAATCATGAGGAGAACATGGCGGACAGGCCGCGACTCAATGAAGCCTTTTAAGTGCAGCTTATTAATCATGTATAACATGGACATTGTGTGTGTGTGTGTGTGTGTGTGTGTAAGAGTATTGTAGTGTTTGTGCAAGATTCACTGTACATGTAAGAGGGTATAGTTGTGTGTGCGTGTAAGAGTATAGTTGTGTCTGTGTGAGAAAGTATGAATTACAGCATAAACGGCCTCCGATAGTTTTTCATGTCTGGACAGACATGCATGTAAACTGCAACGTGACTGGTCAGAAAATCTAGTTTTTGTGATTGTAGTTTGTAATTGATGTCAGACATGAGTCTTGTGTCCTAATAACAGAACCATCCACTGACATCACTGACGAGTTTTGTCATTGACTGAATAATTGAGAACGGTATTTGTGACATCACATGTGTGTGTATGTATGTACGTATACATTTGTCATGTAAAAGTGTGTTGTGTGTTTGTTTGTTTTGTTTTTTTGTTTGTTTTTTTTTTTGTATCTGCTTTTCAGAGTCTGGGCTTTAGTTGTAATAAATTTAATGAGATTGCATTGTTATAGAAGCCTGAGGCTACGAGAAACAAGGCAACAGTTGAGTTATTCTATCATTTTAAGTCAGTAGTATGTAAAACGACTGCATTAGTATTCAGTGACTCCTGGATTATGTTATTTCAACTCATTCTGGAATATGAATGAGGTTGTCATTCAACAACTTCAAGGTAAAGACATCATTTTGGATGCTAGAGTTGTGTTCAGATGAATGGTAATACTTGTGTAACTGTCTTTCAGGAACATATGGCCCCTTTGTTTGCCTTGGGCATGTTTCCAGGGAACATTCAGCAGAGTCGTGTACATGGGCTAGAATAAAAGATCTTCAAAGTGGTATAAAATAACATGAAAGTTAATGAAGGTCAGTGAACTTGCTGGCTGTAATCGAGGCCAAGCGGACATAGTCATAGTCCCTCTGAACTGTCTCGTATGGATAACTCTCCACCAGGTTGAATCCTGAAAGAATAATGCATAGACAGACACATTGGATTGAATGTTAACACCACAGTTCATCCACATGCGTTCATCTGTCATGTAGTCATTTTCATTTATCCACTGAGGTCTACCTATTTTTAATTTGTTAAGGATACTGTTTGTTTTAATGAACAAAACTGAATCCTGATTCTGTGATTTTTAGTTGTTCAGACAGCTGTTATCAAGTAACCACTGACCATGTATGATGGACTGATGCAGGCTCCAATAGATGCTCAGGCAATTCTTCTCCTTCCTCATGCCCCGTTTACACTGGCAGCCATGTAAGGGGCTGGACAGTAGGGCGGACACTGCGTTGGCACACTGACTCCTGGCACCGGGGCCCAGCTTCACGCTGCCATTTCCTGCCACACACTGACGCAACGTCCGCAGACGTGGACTACAAGTCTCATCACTTGAGCATGAGTCCCCAGCCAATAAGCAGTCCCTGCCGGCCAGTATGACCTCTAACAGAGCTGTGGGAGAAGAAATCAGAGTACAACAGGGGAGATATGAGATACTGTAAGGTTGTGAGATGAGATGGAAAATTAAGAATAAAGGAGGTGCAAGCTGAAAGGTCAGAACCAAATGTCAGGAATAATAAAGGAGGAGAAAATAAAGAACACCGAAGGATAATAATCACCTTTATTTGGCCAAGTATGTTACACACAAGGAAAAATCTGATCAGTTGAAAGGGGATATTGAGCAGTAATTTCAGTCTGCTGGGTGGCTTATTGTAATTCTGAAAACATGAGAAGGCAGAGGTTAGAGGTTCTTGTAGTATGAAATCATTGCAGCTCATTTTAATAGAGGTAATACTTCTCATTGCTCTGCTTTGAAAGTTGGGATGCATCATGCACCTTCAGGTTGAGGGAATGGAGCAGACACTGGAGATGTGCTGAACCTTCAGTTTTCAGTCTGCTATTTTTAGGCTGAGTGACAATGAAGATTTACTAGTACAGTAGAGTAGGTTTTGTGTGACAGCATTTCCTGTTTTATATACAGGATGCTAGTGGCCTAGCTCTCAGGATGGAAATGTCTGTCTGGCTCTCCACTGTTTTAATCCAGGTGGATACCATTTCAACAACTATTTGACAGATTGCCATGACTTTTTATACAGATACATTAGATATGGACCCCTGTTGAATTATTTAAGGTGTTATTGCTAATGTCTCCGGAATACAAGTTAAGTGTTTTTAAGGCTGAATGTACACTACACACTTTTCCCCATTGAAGAAGTGCGTGTATTATTTTCCGCTACAGTGTGAAAGGTCTTGAGTGGCAGACTTGTATAGATACTAATCTATGCTCTCATTCACTGACAAACCTTGCTCTGAATAGGTTTGACTCCTTCATTTCTGTTGCATGACTGTCCTATTCAGTGGGTCAGGGAATTCAAATAATAGGTGTGTGAAATACACTGAATAGACACAGAGTATTAGCCAGTGAAAGAACAATAGGTATTAATCTGTTGCTATGGTGAAAACCCAGGCAGTACCATGTCCTTTTATCTTAGCGAGCCAGTAAACAGCTGGTAAGATGTTGGTTTTCGTTCGCATCTCTGGGCTCAGATGGTAGGATACGAACTTGAGGTGAACATGGAATGACCAGTAAAAGTGAACACAGTATGAAACCTTTGTGTAATATGCTGTATTTGCAATATGTTCCAAAACATCTCTTAATGTGGAGAGGGGTTGGAGCTCACAGCTATCAATGAGGTCTGCTAGTTCTCTCACACTGGAAGAGGAGAGGAGTAGTTTGCCTTAGAGTCTCATGCTAGTGTTAGCTTAATTTCTAGATCTTGCATATTGTAGCTTTAAGTATGTGTGGTATATTCTTGTTAGTTAAATCATGAGAGAACACAAATATATTGTGACTGTTCCTTATTTTATGTTATGGCTCTTCTGTCTTGCAAACAGCTGACACCAGGATGCATTAATATGGAAGTCATATGTAATTGCATTTTATATCCTGTTGTGTATCTTGACTTTGAGTGCATTGTTGTTTAACACCTTGTGCTGCTGGTGCAGCTTGCTGACACATAGTTAGGGTAACTCAGTACACAGGTAGCTTATCCACTGAAGTTCTACATTCTGCGGCTTAATAGTAGTCAAATTAAGTAGCATTTGGGGTCAGACAAATTTACTTTCACATTTAAAATTAGATGTTCACAAATGAACAAGTCACCAGAATACCATAGGTGTATAAAAGCAACCTATATTGCAACCGAGCCTTTACAGTACAGACAGCAGTGTAATAATTACACATCAAGATGTCGACCTCAGGTATAGAAAATATCAACAGCAGTAAAACATTTTAATGGGAGAAGTTTTTGTCATAATGATCATAAGCCACATAAAACACACATCCTTGCTGGAGTTAATTGCAGTGGAGGTGGTGAATTTTTAAAAAATAGCTGCTGTGCTTCTTTTGTATGCTTCTTGTTTCATCTCTCCCCAGTTTTTAATTATTCTGTTATTAAGAAAGTACAATGACTTACAATGAGGCCTCACTCTCCATTAGTGTTCGTTATACATGACAAGTTGTTGCTGATGTTTTACACCTTATGTGTGTCCAGTTAAGCTATAAAGCAACATTTTTACTATTGCTAATCAGGAGTAGACTTTGGAGAATTAGATTTTAGATTTCTGTTCTCAGGTTATTCTAAAAATATATTCCCAAGCATGACCTGAAGTAAGCCAAGTGGATCCTATTACTATAACACTGTAAATTCATAGCACCTCTGCCGTTTGTCGTAATGTTCCTTACCCCATCTGCTTAAATCAAAATTTTTCAATTTCACGCTGCTTTTATCTGCTTACACTGTAGGTAATTTTGGGCCGAAATTGTTCCAGGCATTGTTTTGATCATCAAAACACTCATGAAGGAAAGAAAAAAGAAAGTAATAAAACCACATATTTCCTTGCCGTCAGAACTGTTTAATCTATTACATCTGCTTTTAAAGTTTGGTTACTCAAACCCCACAGGTGTATTGAGTCTCAGTCATATCAGGAGTTACCCAAGCCTTTATACTCTATTCAGCACATGTCAGCTAAGCCCTTCCTATACAGACATGCAGAGGCTTGGGGGGGAACGATCCAACCAACACTATCGTCCGGGAAAGCCAGATGGTCAGTTGGCAAATTCGAGGCAGTGATCCTAGGCCCTTCCCCTACAGCTATGTGTGTCAGTTTGTGCTGCCTGGGCAGAAGCTGGAATAGACGCCATACATCATGAATGCAAATGAGCTGCTTGATTTGACATTTCCAATAAGCCTGTCTCAATGTACCACTGGGTTTAGCCAATTAGCCATGTCAGTAATCGGTGTGCTCTGAGGCTCAGTTAAGTCCTCAGTTTCCCTTCCACATAAATCACAGGCAGATTAGCTGATCAGTTACCCTTGCACGCTGACTTAATGGTCCACTCCAAAAGAGATAAAATGGAAAATGAAACTTAATGAAGTCAGCTGGAACGTTACTCTCACTCCTACATACCTACAAAGCATTGAGGCTATGGGGGAAATGGTAATGTATTGGTGTACTTAATGAGCATCGCCTCCTGTTTCAGTGCTCTTAAGATTTGTACCTGATCTCGGGGAGTTGGATTAAAACTAGCAGCCACACTTTAAAGTGAGTACCCTCCAGCCGTGTTGCCTAACACTATGACAAATGGCGTGAGGTTACAGTTTAGCAAAATACCTGATTCAGTATGCTTGGTCTTAATTTCCCAGCTTTTGTCTATATTTTTTTTTTGGCACCTACTTCTGGACACTTAACTAATTCAAATGTCCAAATATTTTAACATTTTAAAATATTTTAAACATGTATATATTTTTTAACCTTAAATTCAATACTCACTGTGTTTTAGCTCTGGACAGGTGGTAACCCCTTTATTCCTTCTCTGAGAACTGCACTGATTCAGCAGCATCTCAGTTTTTGCTCAAGCTCTACTTACTAGTTTTTACTGCATCTTTCCACCACATTTCATAGTCTCTCACTAGGAGAGAACACCCTGGGATACAGTTGAAAGTGTTGGCTACCCCTCCCCCAAACAAACAAATAAACAAAAAACCTGCTGCTTAGATTTGTTGTCAGCACTGTATGGGTGTGTCAAAACCCATAACATCTGTGAGACTCTAGTTTTACTTTAGTCAGACACATCCTTTCATGCCTCCTTTCTTTTTCACTTGCACTTCTATTACTTCCTTTCTTCCAACAGTGCACATACCTTCAGCTGCTCCTTCATTACAAGCTCCTCCAGTTGTCTTGTTTAACCCATAATGGAAAAATATGAAGTTGAAGAATTAAAGTTGGCATTCGCACATATTGAACATATGTTTGTCTTTTCTCTCTCAAACTGCTTGCAGTACTACTAGCCTTTCCAGAGTTCATGCTCTTTTTTATTTGTATTTCTCCTGCCTATCAAGCAATATCAGTAAAAACCCCTTTTTGTAGTTTGTGTATTCTTTTGAAATGTTATCAAAACTAATTAAAAATGTAACTGGTTAGAAGTGCCACCCTTTAATAAATTCCAAATGAATAATCAGTTTTGGTGAAAGAAAAGTGAAATTTATCATATTGTGACAATAATGCAGTTCCTTAAGTGTCCTATATACATTGTTTGCTTAGTCACTGATAACTTCTAGGAGCAGAACAGTTAGGTATAAGTGGATATAAATTATTCTGCCAGTGCAGGACATCTTTGCAACAACGGAGCCTATATTTTTCTGTTAAATTGCTGCTGTTTGATACTCTGCATAGGAGAATGTTATTAGCTTTTATTGCACAGTATTAGCAATTTCAAACTTCAAAGCAGAGTAGATTGAATTTGGGCAAATATCCATCTCCATTCAAAATAAAGCAATGCCAGCTACACTCATACTTCATATTAGATATCAAACAAATAGTGCACATAGACCTAGAAAAAAAAACAGATTTAGCTTTAAGGTTTTGAAAAGAGAAACGTTCACACCCTCAGCAGAATATGTCAGGTAACCTCCATGTGTTACACACACAAAAACAGCAACAGCAGGGTTTATTTTTTTTTTTAATTTTTGACCAAATGGTGCCTGTTTGCCATATAAATTATTTATCAACAGTGTCAGACAGAAAGAGCTGTCAGATTACAAACCATATCAGGAACAACTATTCAGTCAAAGATACTTACTGGTACATTAAAGGATTTTGCTGAATGAATGAATAGACATGCAGAAAAGACTAATCTTGATCAGGACACAGATTAATGTATGGGATATACAGTACCAATGGCACAAGGCAGAAAACACCATAGGAAGTAGGTAGTAAGAAGGTGGAACAGAAGATGCTCAGCTGATGGTGTAAGAACAAATAGCAGATGGGAGTTGTATAGTCATAGCAGCGTAGTACCAAGGATCTGATGTGAGAGAGTTGAACGTGACAGAACACACTCAGCTGAGTTGAATGCTCTGCTTGAACTATTGTCAGTTTATGACTGTGTG